GGGACACCGTAGTAGTAGTAGTAGTAATAATAATAGTAGTAATCGTAGTAGTAGCAGCAGGAGTAGTAGCAGTAGTAGTAGTAGTACTAGTACTAGTATTAATACTAGTACTAGTACTAGCAATAGTAGTAGTAGTAGTAGCAGTAGTAGTAGTAGTAGTAGTAGCAATAGGTTGCAAAAGCCGACTCTAATTCGTGGGCCATGGCGTGTGCCATGGCCTTCATGCGACGGGGCTTCTTTCGCGGCGTCTTTCGCGCNNGGCCATGGCGTGTGCCATGGCCTTCAAATAATGGAGATTCTTTCACGACGTTTTTCATATAACTTTATCGGATCTTTCGTGTTTAATCTGCTATGATTTCATAAAAGTGATACTTTCTCATAATGATGCTATACATAAATATACGTCGGAAAACGCAACCCTTGAAGCATAGAGAGCTTGAATAAAAGGCACGACCATGCTCAACCCCTTACTTCTTCCCACAGTTTGTGGATTGGCAGCCAAACGATCTGGTTTTAGGTATATTGTGGATAGCGAATTTATAATCTATATGCCTACGGACTTATTCAGCATATATCTTTTAAGTCCTATACGGCCCAAATCTATTCTATACCAGTAATTTTCGCGGATTATTGTTTTTCCTTTCATAGACCCATCGCGGATCTTTTATGGACACTCTATTTCATATGATAAAATCGTTTTATATAATCTCCATATAAAGACCTTTAAATTAATGCTCATATCTCAAATAGCAGCAAGTATTGCAAATGGCAGCAAATCAAATCCCAGGATATAGGAATCCGACCACGATAAATATTGGAAATCTAGCAAATAGAGCCCAGGGCATCGGAATCCAGCCTCCATGAATATTTCAAGTGATAGTAGAGCAGAATCCAGGCAATAAGAGTGCGACGACCATAAATATTATAAATAATAGCAATCCAGAAGACAAAATAGAGGAGTCCGATCGCCATAAATATTATAAATAGTAGCAAATCAGAAGCCAGGGTATCGGAATCCGGCCGCCGCAAATATTAGAAATATCAGCAAATCAGAATCTAGGATAGAAGAATCCGTCCGCCATGAATATTCTAAATAATAAGAAACCAGAATACAGGATAGAAGAATCCGAATACCATAAATATTAAAAAGAGCAGCAAACTAGAACCCCGCATATAAGAATCCGATCGCTATCAAGATTTTAAGCAATATCAACCCAGAATCCAGGATAGAGGAGTCAGATTATTATAAATATTGCAATCAGCAGCAAACCAGAATTCAGGTCATAGGAGCCCGACCGCTATAAAGATTGCAAGTAGCAGCAAGCCAGAACCCAAGAGACAGGAAAGCGATTATTATAGATATTGTAAATACTAGCAAATCAGAAATCAAGATATAGGAGCTGATTACCATGAATATTTCAAAGAGTAGCAATACCAATTCCGAGATCTAGGAGTCCGACTCCATTATAAATATTATAAATAGCAGCAAATAGAAGTCCCGGATATAGGAGACCGAGCGCCATAAATTTTTCAAATAGAAGAAAAATAGAAATCATGATATAAGAATCCGATCATTATAATTACTGTAGTAGCAGCAAATCAGAAATCATGATATAAGAATCCGACCATCATAAATAATGTAATAGCAGTAGCAAATCAGAAAATAAATAATTATAAGAATCCGACCGCCGCAAATTTTATAATTAGTAGAAAATCAGAATCCAGGACCCAGGAATACGACCGCCACAAAGATTATAAATAGCAGAAAACTAGAACCCAGGACACAGGAGTCCGACCACCATCAATATTATAAAAAGCATAAGTCTTATAAATAATCATAAATAAGAATCAAATCAGATCTCAGGCTACACCACTCCGGCTATCATCAATATTAAAAATTAATAGATCTATAAATCAAAGATTTTTTTCAATAGATCATGGAATATTGATTTTCTCAATAAAGATAGAAAGAAAAATTCTTCTTCTATTTCATTGAATCATTTAATTTATTGAATATGATTATATATATATATATCTATTTAAATTCTATATCTATATATATATATAATTCATTATTTTATATAAATATGAATTTTTGAAGTAGAATTATTTCGGATGTAATTTATAATATATTTTTTCGAATGATTTTGAAATTATTTCTTGGAAAATTCATGAATAGGAAAAGTTTTAGTCAAAAATAGAATTTTTATTCATGATATTCAATAATCTTATTATCTATAAATCTATAGTATCTAAAAGCTTCGTATATATTATATGAATATTCTAAATTATTAATCAAAATTTTAAAAATACGTTTTTTTAGAAAAATAAATCTATTGGAATCTATTTAATAAATTTGAAAATTTATTTCTATTATTTCTAATATTTCTTTTAATTTAGCGTGGGGTCCGTTGTTTCCAACAAGGGGGATAAGAGGATTAGACTGAATTTTTAAAATCACAGCAATTATCTATAAGCATGAAATAGAGAAATAATTTCTAATAAAGATTGATATATATTATTCGATTTTATTAATAAATATATCATAGATATTTAGATTCCATCGATATATAATGTTAAAGCATTAATTCTATTTTCTTAAATTATTCCTAGAAGAATTATAATAGCTCTAATTTAAATAAATCAAACCTAAATAAATAATCAATTAAATATATAAATAAATCATGAATAAAATAAATAGAATAATAAAAAATCAAAGAAATTTATAGAATAGAGAAAAATTATCAAAGAAGCAGCCAACCACATATAGAGAGAAATATATGAAATATAGAAATGAAATCCAATCAAATAAATTACCAAATAAATATTTGGACCTATAAATAAAGCGAGAAATTAGTCGACAAACTAATAGACCGATAAATAGCCAGACCGATAGATAGACCAATAAATACACCGATAAATAAATAGACAGACCGAGACAGACCGATAAACCGACCGACCGACAAACAGACAGACAAACAGACCCACAGAGACACCGACATTCAGAAAGCAAGGCACTGGAGCTTGCGGCACTACAATTTCGGGAATATTTTTAATTATATCTATCATCGAATATTTCTTTTTTTTCAAAATATCTCTATATATTATCATTCTTTGTCGAAAATCAATATATATGAGGATTATCAAATTCAGAAATTGCTGTCTATATCTATTCATTCTCGACATGATTCGATCAATCGAAATAGAGATCTTTTTCTAAAGATTATTCGCTCACTAAAATTCTACGATGAGATATTGGAAAATAATGATGGGAAATATCTATTATTTTTCCGGAATCATGGAGATCATCTTCGAGCAGAAGAACCATCAAAGGGCTCTATTGGCTCATCTAGGGATTCAAATTATGGTTCTTGAAACCAACGTCACAATATCTTGAGGCGTCCTTCAGAAAAGCAACACTCCTGCCATGATTTTCAGCAGAAGCAGACCGAAGTAGCCTTCCCTCAGGGGTTGGCAGCCATCTTCAAACCACCGGCCCCATGAGTGAAAATCCCTATTCTAGACCTACACTATGCTTGTACTGTACATGCATACACAGATACATACATACATGCATACATACATACATACATACATACATACATACATACATACATACATATGTACGTACGTACGTACATACACACACATGCAAATAAAGACATACATACCGCCCTCATGCATACCTACATAGAAACATACATGCAATACCTACGTACATACACACATGCAAAAAGTCTTCTGACTATAAAATGCGAAGCAACCAAAGACCCCGAACTTCGTACAAAAGCAAGCTAGACAAAGCCCGATGTGATCCAAAGCTATCCAACGAAATCGGACGAGGACAGTGCGACACAGCAGTGAACTCACAAATTAATTTATCGATGCCTCTATGCACACATGCGTACGCAACATACACGCAGATGTGAATTGACACACGCACCTTGTACCCCTTGAACGCATCGACTAAACTACACTTACGAGCACGTGGTACACATGTCGCACAACTACATCTATCTATCTATCTATCTATCTATCTATCTATACATACATACGTATACGCATGAGTTCTTAAATGTCAACAGACCAACAAGTGCGCACACATGCAGACATATCAAAAGAACCAGCTATGACCTCATGCACTCGATTATGTGCATTCCGTCACTCGTACATGTCTGACTGCGTGGATTTCGGGCTTTGCAGATCGAGAGAACATCTAGACTATTGGCCCAGAACCATGCTTGTTCATCTAGCAGGCAAGGACATAGAAAGCTCTGTATGACCCAACTTTACCGAAGCCCGCTATGTCCACGGTTTTCGGCCGTGGAGCTTCAGGTCTCTGCCTCCTGGCTCAGTTTCCGCACAAACTCCGTATGTGTTTCCAGCTCCGCCTTCTCGAGATCCGAAATCCTTCACAGGGCCGCTTGGTGCCCCTTGAATTTCCAAAATAGTTTAGGCCTCCGGACACAAGGAACTCTGCAAAATACACGGGATCAACCGGAGCTAGCACCCAGAAACCCCGAGAAAGCATCTTCATGAACCATTGCAAAGCCTCTTCATTTCCATTGCAGAACGAGCAGCTGGCGCTGCGGCTTGAATGGGGCGACCTTCCAGTAGATCCACTCGAAGACCTCGCCACTCACAATGCGCCGCAGAAAAATCCTCCGGAAGTCTCAAGCGCCATGAGACCAGAAAGCTCAAGTGGTCCTGGATCGAAGCAGCTCCGGAAAGCTAAACAGACTAGGACCTAGCATACCTTGACCTCAGCAGCTGAAGAAGCCCGACTCAACAGCATGCGCAAGTTGTTGTCTCTGAGTTTGCAACTAGCTACAAGAAAAAGCTCATCACAAGCCATCTTCGGTTCAATTTAGGACTACTGTAAGAAGTCCGAGCAGACCCTGTTTCGGCTCTTGGCGAGAGGCTGCGAGGAAGAAGGTGAGGCCCCCCCAGTTGATGCCGCGGATCAAACCCTGCGGGGCTATCTGTAGTGGATTTAGGGTTTAGGGTTTAGGGTTTAGGGTTAAGGGTTTAGGGATTTCTGTGCAGGGAAGCTACACCTCAGCCTGCAGCCTTGAATAGGCAGAAATGGTTGCTGATGTTGCTGGATCCGCCCTTGATGGAAGCATGCTCAGTTGCCTTTGTCTTTGTTGCTTACTTGTGCTGTGTCCAGACTAGCTGTTCAAACACTCCCTGCTGTGACCTACCTTTCTTGCAATTGCTTGTGACTTTGCTGGCCTTGTCTTGAAGAAGAGTCGCCGAGCAGAGATCTAAGTTATGACTGCTCTTATCGCCACTCCTAACTCCGATTTAACAGAAGGAAGATAGGCTCGGATTCTCGCTAGCTGGTAGCTCTTCAGAGGTTCCAAGCGAACAACGAAATCATGTGTACAGCTCTTCTGGGATCTAAGTTGCTGTGACTTCATGGGGAAGCTTCCACACAAGTCAGATGCACCTACAAGCAGCTGTCCCGCAAGACACAGCCCAGACAGGACCAACACACTAAACCAAGCGCAGCAGACAGTGCACACAAAGACGGCACAAACCGCGATGCAGAACAGACAGTGCAAACATAACACACAGAGGCAGAAAGACACTCGCCAAACAGGATACGGGCTGAAGCAAACGTTGAAAAAAGTACTCACAAACTACGAAGCAACACTGCAAGCAGGCGGCAAGCTAACAAACAGTGCCAGCCGGCAACATGTGGAACAGCAAGGCAAGGGCGGTAGTCAAGCTTGATCAAAACCGCGCACAGCGCACGAAGCAAACGGTTGGAAGCATTCAATCCGGGCCCTACAAGCAGCAAACGTGCATAGACACTAACAAAACACGACAATCAAAACACTGCCCAAGTTGCGAGGAAGACGCATGCAGAGAACCCACACAGCCACACACACGAATGAACGAACGAACGAAGCCTGCATCGAATGCTGCAAATCCCGTTGCCTTGCGCAGCCCAGCGAAGCCTGCTCCCCGGAATGGATGTCCTGCGTGGGCTGCGCAGTGGTGCATGACGTAGCTTCAAACTGAGTTGGAGGGTCAACTTCTACCTACACATAGACGCAATTCCGTGTTTGCAACAGGTGCATGGCCTAGCTCGCTTTTGTCTGCATTGTGAACACACCCGGGGTCTCGCCGCAAGACCAACGGCTTCGAAGAAGGGCCTGAACAACACAATTGCAGTGCTTCTGGCACAGGATCATGTTTAAATCTAAGGCTTCAGGCGAGCTTCTGTGAACCGTTCTGCTGCAGATGGCTGCTGCCGATGGAAATGCGAGTAAGGCCCACGCACGCCGGCCTGGGTCATCGTCTTGACCTGGCAGTTGCACATCTTCACCGGGTCTCGCAGAGCCGGCAAAATTAAATCAGGATTGTTTGTATTTTTTCTGGTAGTTATAGTGTTTCAGTTCTATAACACAGGCCTAGGCGTGCAACTGTATTTGGCCTACTCTTCTAGGGAGGGGACTTCCCATCTGTGCATGCGGGCTTGCTATTGAAAATTCCGGTGCGTCATATGTCTTTCACATGCCCTCTCATTTTGTGATTCCGGTTCATCATATATCTTAAACACGCCGCCAACCCCATTTGGCGATTCCGGTTCATGCCATCATAAATGTTAAGCAACCCCCCCTTTGGCGATGCATCATATATTTTAAGCACGCCCCCTCATGTGGCGATTCCGGGTCATCCTATATCTTAAACACGCTCGCTCATGTTGCGAATCCGGCTCATCAACTATCTCAAACACGCTCCCTCATTTCGCGATTCCGGTTCATCGTATATCTTCAACAGGCGATTCCGGCTCATCAAAAATCTTAAACACGCCTCCCCATTTCGCGGTTCATCATATGTGTATATATATATATGTATATCTATCTATCTATCTATCTATCTATCTGTCTATCTGTCTATGTTTATACCCATGTGCATACATCCAAACCTACATATGTAGAGATGTACGTACCTTTGTACGTGTACAGATGTACACATATAAATA